CGGGAAGAAACCCTAAATCCCCAACAAGGAACAGCCCACGACCAAAACAACCCAGAGCATCACCCAGCAGTGAGCAGGGACGAGGGAGAGCACGGAGAAATGGGGGAGATGCAACAGATCTGGGGCCAGGAGCGTCTGAGGGAGCAGGGAGGGCACCAGGGCCTGCCTGAGGGGCTGGGGGTGCCCGGGGAACCACCCCCCATCCAGGGGGGTGAAACCCCCCCCCCATCCAGGGAATGGGGCTGGGGGTACAACCCCCACTGCAGGGAATGGGGCTGGGGGTGAAACCCCCCATCCAGGGAATGGGGCTGGGGGTGAAACCCCCCATCCAGGGAATGGGGCTGGGGGTGAAACCCCCACTGCAAGGAATGGGGCTGGGGGTAAAACCCCCCATCCAGGGAATGGGGCTGGGGATGCCCGGGGTACGGGGCTGGGGGTGAAACCCCCATCCCGGGGAATGGGGCTGGGGGTGAAACCCTCCATTCCGGGGATACAACCCTCATCCCGGGGAATGGGGCTGGGGGTAAAACCCCCCATCCAGGGAATGGGGCTGGGGATGCCCGGGGAACAGGGCTGGGGGTGAAACCCCCACTGCAGGGAATGGGGCTGGGGGTCAGCCCCCCATCCCGGGGATACAACCCTCATCCCGGGGAATGGGGCTGGGGCTCAGCCCCCACGGCAGGGCTGTGCGTGCCCCCCGCACACGCCGCACGGTGCGGGGCAGCGGCCCCGGGCCGCAGGACAGCAGTGCCCCCCGGGCCCGGCCGCTGTTTCCGGAGCGGTGACAGCCCGCGCACGGCGGGGGAGGCAGGCACACCGAAAACACCCGGGCCGTGAACGCGCCCGACCGCGCAGGGGCGGCTGCGGCTGCCGGGAGCTCCCCGGGGCGCTCACAGGGGATTCCCGGGGGCTCGGAACCGCCCGGCCCGGCCCGGCCCGGCCCCCCCGCCCGGCCCGCGGGGAGCACGGCGGGTCTGTGACCCCTGGGACAGTGCCACGGGGCCACCAGCAGGGCGACAGCCCGGGGACAGCCCGGGGAACCCGGCACGGGTGACAGCGGGGACGCGGGGTGACCTGTCCTGGGCCAGGGCACGGGGACACCGCTGGGGTCTGCACCGCGGGGGTGGCACTGGCACTGCAGGGTGACACTGGCACCGCGGGGGTGGCACTGGCACCGCGGGGGTGGCACTGGCACGGCAGGGGTGACACTGGCACCGCGGGGGTGGCACTGGCACCGCAGGGGTGGCACTGGCACGGCAGGGGTGACACTGGCACCGCGGGGGTGGCACTGCAGGGACCGCTGCCGGGTGCCGGTGCCACGGGCCGTGGTGGCAGCGGGTGACAGGGGAGGGTGACACGGGGGCTGTGCGGGACCCGCAGGGGCAGCAGCGGGCAGGGGCTCAGGACACTGGGGAGGGGACAGGAACGGGGCACGGGGACACAAGGCACGTGCAGAGCCCGGTGTGCCGAGTGCCCGCGATCCTCCCGGGCAAGAGCTGCTGCTGGGGACACTGGGGACCCTGAGGGCACTGGGAGCACTGGGGACACTGAGGGCACTGGGGACCCTGGGGACACTGGGGACCCTGAGGGCACTGGGGACACTGGGGGCACTGGGGACCCTGAGGGCACTGGGGACCCTGGGGACACTGGGGACCCTGAGGGCACTGGGGACACTGGGGGCACTGGGGACCCTGAGGGCACTGGGGACACTGGGGGCACTGGGGACCCTGAGGGCACTGGGGACACTGGGGGCACTGAGGGCACTGAGGGCACTGGGGACACTGGGGGCACTGGGAACACTGGGGATGCTGGCGTTCCTGAAGATGCTGGGAACACTGGGGACACTGGGAGCCCTGGGGATGCTGAGGATCCTGAGGAGCTGGGGACACTGGTGACACTGGTGACTCTGGGGATCCTGGGGATCCTGAGGAGCTGGGGACACTGGGGACACTGGGGACACTGGGAGCCCTGGGGATGCTGAGGATCCTGAGGAGCTGGGGACACTGGGAGCACTGGGGACCTTGAGGAGCTGGGGACACTGGGGACACTGGGGACACTGGTGACCCTGGGGATCCTGAGGAGCTGGGGACGCTGGGGACACTGGAAGCACTGGGGACCCTGGGGATCCTGAGGAGCTGGGGACGCTGGGGACACTGGAAGCACTGGGGACGCTGGTGCCGCTGGGGACCCCTGTGACACTGTCGTGCCTGCTGGAGGACGCGGTCCCCTCCCTGTCCCGGCGGTTCCCGCGGCCCGGACACGGAGCCCGCTCCGGTGTGCCGAGTGCCCGCGATCCTCCCGGGCAAGAGCTGCTGCTGGGGACACTGGGGACCCTGAGGGCACTGGGGACACTGGGGCACTGGGGACCCTGAGGGCACTGGGGACCCTGAGGGCACTGGGGACACTGAGGACCCTGAGGGCACTGGGGACAGCTGAGGATCCTGAGGAGCTGGGGACACTGGGGATGCTGGCGTTCCTGAAGATGCTGGGAACACTGGGGACACTGGGAGCCCTGGGGATGCTGAGGATCCTGAGGAGCTGGGGACACTGGTGACTCTGGGGACCCTGGGGATCCTGAGGAGCTGGGGACACTGGGGACACTGGAAGCACTGGGGACGCTGGTGCCGCTGGGGACCCCTGTGACACTGTCGTGCCTGCTGGAGGACGCGGTCCCCTCCCTGTCCCGGCGGTTCCCGCGGCCCGGACACGGAGCCCGCTGTCCCGAGTGTCGCTGTCACCGCTGACTCTGGGGATCCTGGGGATCCTGAGGAGCTGGGGACACTGGGAGCACTGGGGACCTTGAGGAGCTGGGGACACTGGGGACACTGGGAGCCCTGGGGACCCTGGGGATCCTGGGGAGCTGGGGACACTGGGGACACTGGGAGCCCTGGGGACGCTGGTGCCGCTGGGGACCCCGGTGACACTGTCGTGCCCGCTGGAGGACGCGGTCTCCTCCCTGTCCCGGCGGTTCCCGGCGGTTCCCGCGGCCCGGACACGGAGCCCGCTGTCCCGAGTGTCGCTGTCACCGCTGCCCAGCGGGACACGGCACCTCGGGGGTGCCGGGCTGGCGGCCAGAGGGTCCCGGGGGGGTTTGGGGGTCCCGGCTGTGCCCCCGCCCCTGCGGGACCCGCTGGGGGCTGCCCTGGGGCGCTTTTTGGGGCGCCGGTGACCGGAGCGGGGCTGCGGGAGCTGCTCGCGGCCCCCGCCCCGCCCCGGGGCCTCTGCCAGCAGGCAATTAAGCTAATTAAAACTTCTCCTGGGTTCCCAGGGCCGGGAGCCAGCAGAGAGGGAAAGGGAGAGCGCTGCCGGGGCTGCCCCGGGGACAGACGGGGTGCCCCGGGTGGCAGCTCCCGGCGCGGTCCCGCTGTGGCACGGCCGGGTGGCAGCGGCTCCCGGGGTGGCTCCGGGGTCACCCGTGCCGGGGTGGCCGTGAGGCGACAGCCGGGCCGGGCAGGGGCAGGGGCAGGGCCCGGGTCCTTCCCGGAGCCGCGGGGATGGCGATCCCTGAGGAGGAGGAGGAGGAGGGCAGGGAGAGGGCTCTGCTCCTGCTGCAGCCCTGCCGTGCCCCCAGAGCCCCCTCCCCGTGCCAGCCCGACCCTGGTGACACCGATCCTGGTGACAGTGACCCTGGTGGCCCGGTGCTGTCCCTGGGGGTGACAGCGGCTGGCCCTGCCCCACCCGGGCCGGGAGGGGAGCCCAGCCCGGCCCGGCGCTGGGGTCGCCGTGGGGGCGCTGGCGCTGTGCCGTGCTGGGTGACAGATGTCACCTCCGAGACCCGCGCCCCAGGCGGTGACACCCCGCGGGCACAGCCGTGGGGACACGCGGGGCCCGGGGGGCTCGGGGCGGGGCCCGGCCGTGCCCCCCCGGGATCAGGTGCTGCCCCGAGCCCCCGGGTGTGTGCAGCCTTTGTGTCCCGGTGGTGCGGAGGAATCCCAGCGATTCCGGGCACGCGGAGGCCCCGGCCCCTCGGCCTGGGGAGGCCGCGCCGGGGGGGACGGTGCCCCCAGCCCCGGGTCCGGGCCGGCCCTGGGGGTCCTTCCCATCCCCGCCGGGAGCGCCGCCCGAGCGGGGGGGGCCCGGCCGGGGGTCCCTGGAGGGAAGCTGAGGGGACCCCTCCCCTGCCAGCTGAGGAGCAGCCCCCCGGGAACCCCCCAGCCCAGTTTGGGGGCGCTGCTGGCCGGCAGGAGCGGGGCCGCGCTGATCCCGGCGGATTTACATTCCTGGGTTGTTCCGCAAGGCCCCATGTGATGCCTGAACCGTGGAACCAGCCCGGGCAGGAGCCGGGGGGGCGGGCGGGACTGTCCCTCCGGGGCACCGGGCTGCTCTGGGTGGGCTCGGGGTCCGGGGGTCGCCGCTGCCCGGCGGTGTCAGGCGGGAGGGCACGGCCGGGCTCGGCACGGCCCGGCGCGACGTGGCACGGGCAGCACGGAGCCGGCCCCGCCGGGTTGGGGGTGACACTGGCCCCCCAACAGCCCCAGCCCCCCAACAGCCCCGGCCCAGCCCCGTCCCCCAGCCCAGGGCCGCTCCCGGGGGCAGCGGGGCCGGGTACGGGCGGTACCGGGGCGAGGTTCGGGACCGGCGGGCTCGGCCCGGGGGTGCTGCGGGGCTGGGGCGGTGCCGGGGAAGGTGCGGGCCTGGGGGCTGCGGGGCTGGGGAGGGGCCGGGGGCATTGCGGGGTCTGGGAAGGGCACAGCGGGGTCTGGGTGCTGCGGGCCTTGGGGGTTGCGGGGCCGCTGCGGGGCCGCTGCTGTGCTGGGAGGTTCGGGGAAGGTGCGGGGCCGGTGCGGGGCCGAGGGCGGCGCGGGGCTGCTCCCGCCCGCGGCTCCTCCCGTCCCGCCGGGCTCCTCCCGCCCGCCGGCCCGGCGATATTTAACCTGGGCCGGGGCGGGGAGCGGCAGCGCCGAGCGGGGCCGGACCGAGCCCGAGGCAGCGCCGCCCGATCCCGCTCCGGTAGCGCCGGGAGCCCGGGCTGCGGCACGGCGAGCGGGAGGGGAGGGGGCTGCGACCCGGAGCCCAGCGCGCCCCCGGCCCGTGTGTCCCGCAGCCGCCGCCGGTCCCGTGCCGTGCCGTGCCTTGCCGTGCCGTGCCGCCCGGCCATGCGAGCCCCGGCCCCGCTGGCGCTGGGTTGCGTCAGCTTCGCGCTGTGCCTGCTGGAGCTGCCCCACGGCCGGGGCCTGCCGCCGCGCAGGTGAGGGACCCTGCCCGGAGCCCCCTGCCCACACACCCTGCCTGCACCCCCTGCCCGACCCCTGCCCCGACCCCGGCCCCGATCCTTGCTCCGACCCCTGCCCGGAATCCCCTGCCTGCACCCCCTGCCCAAGTCCTGCCCGGAGCCCCCTGCCCAATCCCTGCCCCGATCCTTGCTCCGACCCCTGCCCGGAATCCCCTGCCCAACCCCTGCTCGGAGCCCCCTGCCCCGCTCCCTGCCTGCCCCATCCCTGCCCCGATCCCTGCTCGGAACCCCCTGCCCCGACCCTTGCCCGCATTCTCTGCCCCGACCCCTGCCCGATCCCTGCGTGCACCCCCTGCCTGCATTCCCTGCCCCATCCCTGCCCCGACCCCTGCCCGCATTCTCTGCCCGGGACGAGCCCCTGCCCCTGCCCCCGCCCCCCCCTGCCAGGTGTGCCAGGTGTGCAGGGGTGTGCAGAGCCGTGCCAGGTGTGCCAGGTGTGCAGGGGTGTGCAGAGCCGTGCCAGGTGTGCCAGGTGTGCCAGAGCCGCCGGGGGCTGGCGCAGGCCGGGACAGATTTTGTGTGTGCAGGAGCTCGGCGGTGCCCGTGGCCGCTGGGGGTGCCCGGGGGGGTCTCTGGGGTGCTGAAGTGGCACCGGGGATCGGGGCAGCCCCCCCGTGTGCGGGTCCCGGCCCGGGGACCCCGCCTGGCTCGGGAGGGGCAGCCCTGGCACCCCGGGACGGGGGGCACCGGGGCACCCCCACCCCACCGGGCCCGAGCAGCCCCTGCCGTGGCTGGGCTGGGGCTGGGGTCCTCTGGGGCACGGCACGAGGGTTGAAATGGGGAGAAAACACTGAAAAAAGGGAAAAGAAGGACGGGAGTAAGGATCGGACCCAAAGCTCCGAGTTCCTTGGGGAGGGGAGTTCCCAGAGGGTCCCCCGAGGAAAAGGCGTCCCCGGGACGCTCAGGACAGGGACACTGAGGCACGGGGGAGCTCTGGGGCACCGAGGGGTGCCCGGAGGCCGGAGCCCCCCGGGGCACGGCTGTGGGTGCCACAGCGGGTGCCGGGGGTGCCACGGCGGGGCACGGCCGTGGGAACGGGGTGGGCGGAGCGGGGGGCTCCGGGGAGAGCAGCGGTGCCCGGCGCTGTCGTGTGTGCGGGACACGTGTCCGTGTGCCCGGGGTACGTGTGTGCCCGCAGGTAGCGCCGGCTGCCCTGCTCTGGCTGCTTCCTCCTCCTCCTGCTCCTCCTCCTCCTCCCCTCCGGAAGCCCCGGGCTCGGCGCTGGCTCGGGCTCAGGCGGTGCCCGGTGCCCCCCGAGGCTGTCGCCGTGCCCGGGAGCCGAGCTGTGTCCCCTGACCCCGTCCCTTCTCTCCTGCAGGGCCCCCCCGGCGCGGAGCCCCCCGGAGCGGATCCCCGGAGCCCCCCCGGCCCCGCCGCCCTTCGGGACCCCGCGGCACCGAGCTCCGGTTCCCCGGCACGGCCCGTGGGCCGCCCCCCGGCCCCCGCCCTGGCACGTCCGGCGCCTCATCCTGCGGCACGACCCCCGGAGGGACCCCCGGGCGGGCCGGGGCCGGCGCCACGCCGGGGGGCACCTGGCGCGGGTGGGCTGCGTGCTGGGCACCTGCCAGCTGCAGAACCTGAGCCACCGCCTGTGGCAGCTGCGGGGACAGTGGGGCCGCCGCGACTCGTCCCCCATGAACCCCAACAGCCCCCACAGCTACGGCTGAGCGGGGGGCGCGGGACCCCCGCAGCACCGGCACGGCGCCTCCGCGCCCCGGGGGGCTCCGGGGGGCTCCGGGCGGCCCCGGAAGGAGCAGCGGGCACGGACAGGACAGGAGCGGGCAGCGGTGGCCCGTGGTGACACAGCGCGGGCCGTGGTGGCCCGCAGAGACTGGCGGTGGCCCGGAGCGGCTCACGGTGACCGGAGCTGGCCCGCAGTGACTCTTGGTGGCTCGCAGTGGCCCCTGGTGGCCGGTGGTGGCCCGTGGTGACCCGGGGTGGCGGCAGTGGGTCCAAGGGCCACCGGGAATCCCGCTGACCGCAGCAGCACCGGCGCCTTGTGCAAGACCCCCCGGCCGCGTCCTGCTGACTCAGAACTGCCGTGGTGCCGCGGCACCCCCGGAGCCCCCCGGGCACCTCCGGAGCCCCCCAGGGCACCCCAGTCCTTCCCCGGGTGACACCGGGGCTGGGGACCCTGCAAGGACAGGACACGGGGACCCCGCTCCGGGCCGGGGGCGGGGCAGCCCCAGCACCTTCCCCACGCTTGGGGGTCCCGGCTGGGGCTGGCACTTCCCGGTGCCGGGGGGTCCTGCCCTCCTCGTCAACACTGTCCCCGCCCCTGGCACCTTGTCCCCAGCCTGTCACCCACACCCGGCAGGAGCTGGCCGCAGGGAGGTGTCCCCAAATGCGGGGGCAGTGGGAAGGTTGGGGTCTGTGCCCCACTGCTGCCCTGTCCCGGCCCTGTCCCCACTGCTGGCCCTGTCCTGTCCCCTGCTGCACCCTCGGGACACACCCACGCTGTGTCCCACAGGCTCAGGGGGTGCCCACACGGGCTGGGGGCACGAGGGGACACGTGTGACATCCCTGACACGAGGGGACACCTGTGACATCCCTGACACCCCGGCGTGCCGCTGTCACCCCCCAGGGCTGTCACCTGCCAGGGCCATCAGCCCATGGCGCCGGGGGACAGGGATGTGTGACCCCAGGCCACCGTCCCACCCCTCCTGGGAGCAGCTTGAGCAGCCCGCCAAGAGCAGCAGCCCCAATCCCCCCAGAGCAGCCCTGTTCTCCCAGGAGCACCCCGTTCCCAGAGCACCCCGTTCCCAGAGCACCCCGTTCCCAGAACACCCCGTTCCCAGAACACCCCGTTCCTGGGAGCACCCAGCCCCCAGAGCACCCCCGTCCTCTGGGAGCTCCCCAGCCCCCATTCCCCAGAGCACCCGGGTGTCCCAGGAGGTTTAGGGACAGGATGTGCCCTGGGTGCCACCCGAACAGGGCTGTCCCCTGGGTGTCCGTCCCCTGGGTGTCCCAGTTTCAGCACAGGAAGTCCCAGGAATGTCTCAAGGTGTCCCCTGGGTGTCCCAGGACGTTTGGGGTGGGATCCCATGGGTGCCACCCGGAGCCGTGTCCACCCCATGGACCTCCCATACCCTGTGGAGCTGCCGAGGGGCGCGGGGGTCCCGGGGGTCCCCAGGCCTTGTCCCCTCCCCTGGGTGCCCCGCTGAGCCGGGGGGGTGCCCGGCCCATCCTGGCCCAGGTCGCTGCTTCCCGGGAATCCTGGTTTGTGTGGAATAAACAGAGCATGAGGAGGAGCCGGGATGGAGTGTGGTGATCCCGTGGGGATGGGATATGGGATGGGGCACGATGACCCTATAGGGATGGGATATGGGATGGGGCAGGGATGGGGTATGGTGATCCCATAGGGATGGGATATGGGATGGAGTGTGGTAATCCCACGGGATGGGGCACAGTGATCCCATAAGGATGGGAAATTGGGATGGGGCACGATGATCCCATGGGGATGGGACAGGGATGGGGCACAGTGATCCCATAGGGCTGGGATATGGGATGGGTTGTGGTGATCCCATGGGGATGAGAAATCGGGATGGGGCACGGTGACCCCATAGGGATGGGGCAGGGTGACCCCATAGGGATGGGATATGGGGTGGAGCACGGATGGGTCAGGGATGGGGCACGGTGATCCCCTGGGGATGGGGCACGGTGATCCCAAGGGGCGGCCGTGTCCAGGGACAGGCACTGTGTCCCTCCGGGGCCGGAGGTGCCAGGCGGGGGCTGTGTCCGCAGGGGTGTGGGGACAGTGGGGACACGCACGTGTGTGCCACCCCGATGCCCGGCTGTGCCCGTGCCCTGTCCCGCCGTGCCCACACGTGCCGTGCCCACCCGTGCCAGCCCGGGCCGTGCCCTGTCACACCCGTGCCATCCGCTGTCCCCGTGCCCCCGGGCAGTGCCAGCGCGGTGCCCCCGCTCTGCCCCCCGCCCCAGGGCCCGTTCCGCTGCCCGGGTCCCTGCGGGGTCGCTCCGCGGCCCCACCGGGGGTCCCCAGCTCGGGGTCCCCATCTCGGGGTCCCCAGCTCGGGGGTCCCCAGCTCGGGGGTCCCCCAGCCCCCTCCGGGAGCGGCGCGGGGTCAAACATTAACCGGGCGGGTTAACTGGTCACCGATTGTCGCCGCGGGGCCGGGCGGGCCCCCCGCGCCTCCCCCCGCCATAAAAGCGGGGCTGCGGCGGCTGCCCCGCAGCTCCGGAGACCCCAGACCCAGAATGAGCAGCGTGCAGGAGGTGAGCGGGGCGGGGGGCGGGGGGCTGCACCGGGGGGACAGACAGACACACCTGGGGGGACAGACACACTTGTGAGGGACAGACAGACACACCTGGGGACGGGACAGACACACCTGGGGACAGACAGACACACCTGGGGGGACAGACACACTTGTGAGGGACAGACAGACACACCTGGGGACGGGACAGACACACCTGGGGACAGACAGACACACCTGGGGACAGACACAGACACTCCAGGGCCGCCCCAAGCCCGCGGGCAGAGGTGACCCCCTGGCGATGCTGTCCCTGCTGGCGGTGCCGCCCCCCCCCAAGGGCCCAGCCTGGGGGTCCCCTGCAGGGCAGGGGGGTCCCGAGGCCACCGGGAGCCGCTCCCCAGCCTGGGGGCTCAGGGCCAGCCCGGGGGGCGTCCCACAGCACCCGTGGGATGAGTGGGGACCCGCACGCTGTCCCCAACGGGGACCCCCAGTCTGATGTCCCCACCTGGGGACAGCCGGGGCTGGACCCCCCCCAGGGAGCGGGGACGGCACCCCCAGGTCCGTCTGTGCCGGGGGGGGGGACGGGCAGCGTGTGGCGATTGGTGACACCGTGTGACACCGTGACAGATAGTGTGCGGAGACGGCACCCCCAGGTCCGTCTGTGCCCGGGGGGGGACGGGCAGCGTGTGGCGATTGGTGACACCGTGTGACACAGTGACAGATAGTGTGTGATAGTGTGTGACACCGTGTGACAAAGTGTGACACCGTGTGACAAAGTGTGACATTGTGTGACAAAGTGTGACACCGATGCCTTGGGGGGTGACACTGTGACCCCCTGGGCGGTGTGATCCCACGCACCCGGGTCTGTCCTTGGTGCCAGTGTCCCCCTGTCCCCAACCTCCTGTCCCTGTGTCCCCCTGTCCCCAACCGCCTGTCCCTGTCCCGCAGTGCCCGGGCCGGGACAGGATGGGGTCCCTGAACCACTCCGCTCCCTGTCCCCTGTCCCGTGACCCTGTGTCCCCCTGTCCCTGTCCCCACGCGGGTCCCCTGAGCCCCTGTCCCCCGCAGGGCCCCGACTCCTCCGAGGAGCCCCAGCCCGGCAAGGCCAAGCCCGAGCTCCGCAACTACACCGTGAGTGGGGGTCCGGGGAGGGCGGGGGTCCCGGACCGGGGGGTCCCGGACCGGGGGGGCCCGGGGTGCCCCGGAGCGCCCCCAGCCCCCGGTGCCGCCCGCAGGAGGGGAGGCTGATCGACCGCGTGTACAACACCTACCTGCTGATGCACACCCACCAGACCGTGCAGTTCGTCCGCAGCAAGGTGCGACCTGCCCCGCGTCCCTCCGTGTCCCCTGGTGCCACCCGGTGTCACCCCGGTGTCACCCCGGTGTCACATCGGTGTCACCCCCTGTCCCCCGGTGCCCCCCCAGCGGGGCGGGGGGTGTCCCAGCCCTGCCCCCTGCCCCATCCCAGCCCGTCTGGGGGCACGGAGCCCCCGGGCGGGGCTGGCGCTGTCCCTCCGTGTCCCCCGGTGCCACCCGGTGTCACATCGGTGTCACCCCGGTGTCACATCGGTGTCACCCCCTGTCCCCCGGTGCCACCCCAGCGGGGCGGGGGGTGTCCCAGCCCTGCCCCCTGCCCCATCCCAGCCCGTCTGGGGGCACGGAGCCCCCGGGCGGGGCTGGCGCTGTCCCCACTGTCGCTGTCGCCGTGCCCAGAGCGCGCAGTACGGCTCGTGCTCGCAGCGGAGGATGAGCGTGATGGAGGCGCTGGAGCTGCTGGACCAGCTGGTGGACGAGTCGGACCCCGACGTGGATTTCCCCAACTCCTTCCACGCCTTCCAGACGGCCGAGGGGATCCGCCGGGCGCACCCCGACAAAGGTGGGGCCGCCGCCCGCCCTGTCCCCGCCGGGGCCCGCCCTGGGGTGACACGGCGCCGCTCCCCCCAGACTGGTTCCACCTCGTGGGGCTCCTGCACGACCTGGGCAAGGTGCTGGTGCTCTTCGGGGAGCCGCAGGTGAGCCGGGCAGGGGCGCCGGGGGCTCCCCCCGCGGCGGGGCACGCTCGGGGCTGCTGTGACCCCCGTGCCCCCCGCAGTGGGCCGTGGTCGGGGACACCTTCCCGGTGGGCTGCAAGGTGCAGAAGTCGGTGGTCTATGGGGACTCCACCTTCCACGAGAACCCTGACACCAAAGACCCCCGGTACAGGTGAGGGGGACCCGGGGTTTGGGGGTCTGGGGGCTGCACCCCCGGCCCGGCCGGGCTGTGGGGGGGGTCCAGCCCCTCAGCCCTGCCCCATCCCCAGCACCGAGTACGGGATGTACCAGCCCGGCTGCGGCCTGGACAACGTGCTCATGTCCTGGGGGCACGATGGTGAGTTTGGGGGGGTCCCTGGTGCCCCCCAGAGCTGTGCTGACCCCCCATTGCCCCCTTTGCAAGGACTGCAGCCCCTGGCGTGGGGCAGGGGCTGCTCTTTGGGGGGCTGCAGCTCCTGGGGGGGCTCTGTGTCCCCGGGGGGTCTCTGCACCTCTGGGGGTCCCCCCCCCGTGGGGGTCCCGCCCCCCCCCCCCCCCCCCCCCCCTTTCAGAGTACATGTACCAAGTGATGAAGTTCAACAACTTCGCCCTGCCCAAGGAGGTGAGCCCAGCACGGGGGGGGGCTCAGGGACCCCCGGCAGGTTTGGGGGTGCGGGGGGAGCACCCTAAACCCGTGCCCCCCCACCCCAGGCCTTCTACATGGTTCGCTTCCACTCCTTCTACCCCTGGCACGCCCACGGCGACTACGGGCACCTGTGCTCGGAGGAGGACCGCCGCATGCTGCCCTGGCTGCGCGAGCTCAAGTGCGTGCCCGGGGGGGCTGCGGGCTCGGCGGGGCCCCCGCGGCTTTGGGGGGGCCCGGCCCTGACCCCCCGCTCGCCCCGCAGCAAGTTCGACCTGTACACCAAGCAGGAGGAGCTGCCCGACGTGCAGCAGCTCCGCGCCTACTACCAGGGCCTCATCGACAAATACTGCCCGGGGCAGCTCTGCTGGTGACCCCCAACCCTGCTGGGGACCCCCGAACCCCTGCTGGGGACCCCCGACCCCACCGGGCCCCTCGCAGCACCCCCCGGCCCGCCCAGGCTCTACAATAAACCTGCTCCTGCTGCACCCCCGTGCCAGACCCCCAATCCAGGAGAGCGGCGGGGCTGGAATGTCAAAGGCTTTAATTAGAAAATTATAGCAAACCTCTGGGCTCGGGCCGAGCCGGGCAGGGGGAACCACGGGATGGGCAGAGCCCGCGGGGAGGGGGCACCCCGAAGTGCCAGGGGGGACCCCAAAGTGACCTGAGGGGCTGGGCAGGGTGACCGGAGGGCTGGCACTGCCCAAACTGCTCCAGCCCGCGGGCACAGAGCCCCCACCCGCTCTGAGCCCCTGACCTGTGCTGAGCCCCCACGCTGGGGGGTCCCCCAGGGGTCCCTGGGCACTGGGGAGGGGTCCCCTGACACTGGGGCTGGGTGCCCAAGGGGTCCCTGGGCATTGGGGCAGCGTCCCCAGACACAGGGCCATGTCCCCAAGCAGCCCCATAACCCCAGGGAGGGTCCCCAGCTGGCAGGGACAGGTCCCCAGCAGTGCCTGGAGGTGTCCCCAAGGTGTCCCAAGGCAGGGGGAAGTGTCCCCAAGCGCTGTGTGTGTCCCCACACCGTGCTGAAGGCACTGGCACACCGCCCCCCCGGGCTGGGGTCCACCCGGGGACTCCCTGCCCCCCGTTTTTGGGGGGGCTGCGGGGGCTACTTCTTCCTCTTGTTGGCGTGCCGGCCCTCGGGCCGTGTCCCGTCTGTGCCCCGCGTCCCCTCGGTGCCCCGCGCCCCGTTGCGCTCCCGGGGTCCCTTGTGGCGGGCGGGGGCTTGTGCCCCCCAGGCCCGCCGGGCCAGGGCTGGCAGCAGCCCCGCGGTGGCGGCCACCAGGTAGAGGGACCAGAGCAGGGCCGGGCCCGAGACGGGCTGGCACAGGCGGCGCAGCCGGGGGGGGCTTGTCCTGGGGAAAAAGGGGGTCAGGGGGTGCTGGTTCTGGAGAAAAAATGGGCTTGGGGGGGGAAGAGAGTGGGGGTGAGGGAAAAGGGCCAGGGGCCAAAAAAGGGGATCCTGGTGTGGGAATGGGGTCAGGGAACAGGGAGAGGGAGGGAAGAGGGTCAGGGGTGAGGGAAGGGGGGCTCAGGGGCTGATAAAGGGGATCAGGGTACGGGAATGGGGTTGAGGCAGGTGAAGGGGGTCAGGGAGGGGGAGTTGGGGCCAGGAAGAGAGGGGTCAGGGGAACAAGAGAGAGATGGGGGCTCAGGGGTGAGGGAAGGGGGGCTCAGGGGCTGAAAAGGGGGATCAGGGTGGGGGAAGTGGCTCAGGGGAGAGGGAAGGGGGCTTGGGGGGTCAAGGGCGAGGATCAAGGTGAAGGAAGAGAGGGTCAAGAGCAATGGAATAGGGTCAGGGGGAGAGCTCAGGGGAGAGGGAAGGGGGCTTGGGGGGTCAAGGGCGAGGATCAAGGTGAAGGAAGAGAGGGTCAAGAGCAATGGAATAGGGTCAGGGGGAGAGCTGGGGGCAAGGCAAGGGGGCTCAGGGGTGTTGAGGGACGGGGTCAGGAGCCAGGGAGGGTCTCAGGGCCCAGGGAGGGGTCACCCCGTGCCCACCTTGAGGCCGTGCTGGCTGAGCAGGGACTCCAGCCGGGGGTCTCCCAGGGACACGGCCGGGAAGAACTCCTGCACGTGCTGCCGCCGCCACCACGGAGCCGGGCCCGGGCTGGGGGCACAGGGGGCTCAGTGACCCCAAAGCCCCCCGAGCCGGGCTGGGGGCTGCGGGGGCCCCTCCCCACTCACCCGCCCTCGCCGGGGGCCGTGAACCAGTACTTGTAGAGCTGGGCCCGCAGGAAGGTGGGCGGGCGGGCGTGGAACGGGTACCGGGAGGCGTCAGTCTGCACCAGGCGGATCACTGCGGGACACGGCTCAGACGGGGACACGGCGGGACAGCCCGGGGACAGCCCGGGCACACCCCGGGACAGCCCCAACACACCCGGGGACACCCCAAACACACCCGGGACAGCCACAGCACAGCTCCAACACACTCCGGGACACCCCAAACACAGCCGGGGACAGCCCGGGGACACCCCAAACACAGCCCGGGGACACCCCAAACACAGCCCAGGACAGCCTGGACACACCCGGGGACAGCCCGGACACACCCGGGGACAGCCCGGACACAGCCCGGGACAGCCCCAACACACCCGGAGACAGCCCGGACACACCCGGGGACAGCCACAGCACAGCCCCAACACACTCCGGGACACCCCAAACACAGCCAGGGACAGCCCCAGCAGGGCGGGGACAGCCCCAGCAGGGCGGGGACAGCCCGAGCAGGGCGGGGACAGCCCGGGCACACCCCAAACACACCCGAGGACAGCCCCAACACAGCCAGAGGCACCCCAAACCTAAATAGGAACACCCAAATACACCTGCAGACACCCCCAAGGCTGTAGGGACACCCCAAACCCAAACAGGGACACCCCAAAACCACGGTGGCATCAATGCTGGGCCAGGGACAGCCCCAGCAGGGCGGGGACAGCCCGGGCACACCCCAAACACACCCGAGGACAGCCCCAACACAGCCAGAGGCACCCCAAACCTAAATAGGAACACCCAAATACACCTGCAGACACCCCCAAGGCTGTAGGGACACCCCAAACCCAAACAGGGACACCCCAAAACCACGGTGGCATCAATGCTGGGGAGGTCCCACCATACCATGGGTCCCCAGAGCCCCCAGCCCCCCCATGAACCCTCTCCCCCCCCATAGCCCCTCTGTCCCCAGAGCCCCCAGTCCCACACCCTGTGTCCAGCCCCTCTGCCCTGTCCCCAGAGCCCTCACCCCCCTGTCCCCTGTCCCCACCCCCGTGTCCCGGTCCCCAGGGCCGTGTGGGGCCGCTGACCGTCGGGCTGTCCCTGCAGCAGGCGCAGCACCAGGGCGCTGAACCAGGGGCTGCCCTGGTGGGGCCCGAGGGCGGCGAACCAGAGCTGCCAGTCCAGGCGGGGCTGGTGCGGGGCCACCACGGCCGGGGCCGCGCTCACGTTCCCGGGCTTGTACATGAACTCGATCTCCTGGGGACGGAACGGCCGCCGTGGCAACGGGGATGGCACACCTCGGGATCCCCGTCCCACCGAGGGCCAGGGATTTGCCACCCAAATCCCAAGGATTCTACAAGAAACACCTCGGGATCCCTGTCCCACTGAGCGCCAGGAGCCACCTCAAACCCAGGAAAAGGACATTGCCACCCAACTCCTGGGATTCTGTAAGAGACAGCTCGGGATCCCCATCCTACGGAGGGCCTGGAGTCACCTCGGCCCCAGGAAAAGGACATTGCCACCCAGAATCCTGGGATTCTGGGGCAGGACACCTCCAGAACCCAATCCAACCATGGGCACGGTTCAGCCCACGACCACCACAGCCTCAGGAAAAAGACATTTCCATCCAAAATTCTGGGATTCTGGGGCAGGACATCTCGGGATTCCAACCCAACCAAGCGCCTGGAGCCACCTCAAACCCAGGAAAAGGACATTGCCACCCAAATCCTGGGATTCTGTAAGAGACAGCTCGGGATCCCCGTCCTACGGAGGGCCTGGAGTCATCCCGGCCCCGGGAAAAGGACATTGCCACCCAAATCCCGGGATTCTGGGGCAGGACACCTCCAGAACCCAATGCAACCAAGAGCCTGGAGCCGCCTTGGCCCCAGGAAAAGGACATTGCCACCCAAATCCTGGGATTCTACAAGAAACACCTCAGGATCCCTGTCCCACCGAGCGCCAGGAGCCACCTCAAACCCAGGAAAAGGACATTGCCACCCAAATCCTGGGATTCTGCAAGAAACACCTCAGGATCCCTGTCCCACCGAGCGCCAGGAGCCACCTCAAACCCAGGAAAAGGACATTGCCACCCAAATCCTGGGATTCTGTAAGAGACAGCTCGGGATCCCCATCCTACGGAGGGCCTGGAGTCACCTCGGCCCCAGGAAAAGGACATTGCCACCCAAATCCTGGGATTCTGGGGCAGGACACCTCCAGAACCCAATCCAACCATGGGCACGGTTCAGCCCACAACCACCACAGCCTCAGGAAAAAGACATTTCCATCCAAAATTCTGGGATTCTGGGGCAGGACATCTCGGGATTCCAACCCAACCAAGCGCCTGGAGCCACCTCAAACCCAGGAAAAGGACATTGCCACCCAAATCCTGGGATTCTGTAAGAGACAGCTCGGGATCCCCGTCCTACGGAGGGCCTGGAGTCACCTTGGCCCCAGGAAAAGGACATTGCCACCCAAATCCCGGGATTCTGGGGCAGGACACCTCGGGATCCCCGTCCCACCAAGCACCCAGCAAAAGGACATTGCCACCCAAATCCTGGGATTCTGGGGCAGGACACCTCCAGATCCCAATCCAACCAAGGGCATGGCTCAGCCCACGGCCACCTCAGCCCCAGGAAAAGGAGATTCCCACCCAAATTCTGTGACAGGGACAGCACCAACCACAGCTGACCCAACCATGTGTCTCATCCTGCTCGGGGTCTCCTCAGCCCCAGGAAAAGGATGTTCCCACCCAAAATCCCGGGATCCTGGGGCAGGACACAGCCAGAACCTGATCCCACCAGTGGCCTGGTCCTGCCCAGGGTCACCACAGCCCCTTGTTCGGTGCCCAGCTGTGCCCATTGCTCAGTGCCCAGCTGTGCCCAGCCCAGACTCTGGCCCAGACCCTGTGTCCAGCTGTGCCCATTCCCGTGCCCATTCCGTGCCCAGCCTCACCGTCCAGCTGTGCCCGTCGTAGCTGCCCTCCAGGATGACCTCCGGCCGGCCGCCCACGCCGGTCATCCTGCGGAAGAGCCCGTAGGAATTGACCACCTGGAAGCGCTCCACGGCCCCGAACATCTGGTGGATCCCGGGCCACAGCTTCCCGTTGGACTCGTGCTCGATGTAGGTGAAGGGCACCTGGGGGCAGGGGCTCTGTCAGGCCCGGGGGTTTGGGGGTCCCCAGGAGCCCCCTGGCCCCCAGGCCTCACCAGGCTCACGGCGAACAGGCTCACGGTGGCCGTGGCCATGACGGCCCACTGCAGGGTGGCCCAGAGCTTCCAGAAGCATCCCCGGACACAGGCACAGCTGGGGGGGCACAAATGGGGGGTTGTGGGGGAAAGGGGCTCAGACCCCCCAGTTTGGGGGGTTAAAACCCCCCAGGCTGTGTCTGACAGCTAAAATCCCAGAGTGGGGTCACCCCCTGCCAGCTCCCAGGGTGTCACCCCACCGGGATCACCCCGGTGCCCCCCAGACCCCCGGGATCACCCCAGTGCCCCCCAGACCCCCAGGATCACCCCGGTGCCCCCACACCCACCGGTACATGGCCACGAGGATCTCCCAGGACAGGGACAGGAAGGCCACCCCCACGAGCGGCAGCGTCACCGTGCGCAGCCACGTGGTGAACTCGTGGTAGGTGAAGGCTGCAGGGAGGCACAGCGCGGCTCAGGGCCAGCCCTGGTGCCCAGGGCGGGCACAGGGCCGTGGCCCTGGCACGTACCCACTCTGGAGTCCAGCAGCCTCCTGTCCCAGTCGAGCCGCAGGCCGAAGCAGCGCACGGTCCAGCAGAGCAGCAGCGCGTAGGTGCCCAGCTCCAGCAGCGTGCCCAGCACCGAGCCCAGCCTGGGGGGCCAGCCTGGGCCAGCGAGGGGCTCAGAGCCCGCCCGGGACCCCCGCACCGCCCCCGGGTCACCCACGGGCACAGGGCCCTGCCCACGGTGTCGCTGTCCCCTGTGCACCCCCCAACGCAGGGTGCTGGGGGTGCCACGGCTTCCAGAGCTGCAGTGGGAGGGAGGGAGGGGGGAAAGGCCCAGGCGTGTCCCCACGCCCTCGAGGGCACCTCAGTATTCCCCCACACCCCTGAGGGCACCCTGGTGTCCCCCCACACCCCCAGGATCACCCCAGTGTCCAAGCAGGGTGCTGGGAGGGGGGAAAGGCCCAGGAGCAGCAGAGCCTCGCTGGGACACAGAATTCCAAAGGGTGGGAGCCCCCTGTGGGGGGACAGCAGTGCCAGGGGGATGGGCTCACACAGATCCAGATTTATCCTTCCTTATTCCCTGATTTCAGAGGGAAAAGAGACCTCTTCCTCCTCCTCCTCCCACACCCGGCTCTGACCCACTGGAGCTCCAGGGAGGATCCAGGGAATCCTGGAGTGGTTTGGGTGGGAAGGGAGCTCAGAGTCCCTGCAGTGCCACCCTGCCAGGGCAGGGACACCTGCCACTGTGCCAGGCTGCTCCAGCCCCAGTGTCCAGCCTGGCCCTGGGCACTGCAGGGATCAGGGGCAGCCCCAGCTGCTCTGGCAATTCCAGCCCAGCCAGCAATTCCTCATGGCCAGGATCCCATCCATGGCTGCCCTCTGGCAGTGGCAGCCATTCCCTGGCTCCTGTCCCTTGTCCCCAGTCCCTCTGCAGCTCTCCTGGAGCCCCTCTGGGCCCTGGCAGGGGCTCTGAGCTCTCCCTGGATCCTTCCCTTCTCCAGGAGAACATTCCCAGATTTCCTAGCCTGGCTCCAGAGGGCTCCATCCTTGGAGCAGCTCCAGGGCCTCCTCTGGATTCGTTCCAGTGGATTCAGGAGCTGTTTTGGGAATTCCCTGAGCTCTTTCTTCCCCACTGGGAATTGTGCCTTTCCCTCTGAGCTCTGGGAGCTCCTTTTGTCCTTGGAATGCAGTTTTCAGATTTTCCCCCTCACTGCCTTTTCCATGGATAATTTCCCGGCTCCAGCCTCGCATATTCCCTGAACTTCCTTTTGGGGCCAGTGTGACACCAGGAATGTCCCTGCTCCGTGCCCGGGAGAGGCTTCCCAAAATCCTGGAGCTGTTCCCGTGTGCTTCTCCTCAGAATCCTGGGGACCCCTGGGCTTGGAAAAGAATTCCAAGGACACTGAATCCAACTGGGCCTGGTCCCCAGCCCAGAGCACTGAGTGGAATTCCAGGAATTCCCTGGACACATTAGACCTGGGATATTCCCACTCCTGTGGGAAGGGAGCTCAGAGTCCCTGCAGTGCCACCCTGCCAGGGCAGGGACACCTGCCACTGTGCCAGGCTGCTCCAGCCCCAGTGTCCAGCCTGGCCCTGGGCACTGCAGGGATCAGGGGCAGCCCCAGCTGCTCTGGCAATTCCAGCCCAGCCAGCAATTCCTCATTGCCAGGATCCCATCCATGGCTGCCCTCTGGCACTGGCAGCCATTCCCTGGCTCCTGTCCCTTGTCCCCAGTCCCTCAGGCCAGCCTGGGTGGCCTTGGAGCACCCCAGGACAGCGGGAGGTGTCCCTGCCATGGGGGCTGGAATGGGGTGGGATTTAAGGCCCCTTCCCTCCCCACCATTCCTGATCCCACAGCTGTGCCCCACACCCCCTGGCCCGGGGTGAGTGTGGCAGCTCCCACAGCACGGCCCCACGCCCCCAGAGCCCCGGGAAGCCCCCACCCCGCGGGGCTGGGGTCTCACCAGCGCCGTGCCTCCGGCGGGGCCGGCCCAGCCAGCGCCCCACGTGCTGCTCGTCCAGCAGGGAGAAGGCCAGCACGATGGTCAGCGCGTTGAAGAAGTTGTAGTTGCCCGTGAGGATGATGAGGACCTGCAGCAGCACCTGGGGGGCACGGGGCAGGGTTGGGGTGTCACAGGGCTGGGGGGACACAGGACACTGCGCACACCCTGACCGGGACATCCAGTGTGGCCATGTCACCTCCCAGTGCCCACGGGGACGAGGGAACCCCAGCCCTGGAGAGACCCCCACAGGGACCCCCCTGGCACACAGGGGGTCACAGGGCTGGGGACAGATGGCACAGGACGTGTCCCCATGCCCATGGAGTGAGGAGCCAAGCCCAGCCCCGGAGAGGCCCCCATGGGGATCCCCCTGGCACAAAGGGGGTCACAGAGCTGGGGACAGATGGCACAGGACGTGTCCCAGTGCCCACGGGGACGAGGGAACCCCAGCCCTGGAGAGGCCCCCATGGGGATCCCCCTGGCACAAAGGGGGTCACAGAGCTGGGGACAGATGGCACAGGATGTGTCCCAGTGCCCACGGGGACGAGGGAACCCCAGCCCTGGAGAGGCCCCCACGGGGACCCCCTAAACACAAAGGGGGGCACAAGGGAGCCCAGAGAGTGTCACAGGGCTGGGGACACATGGCACAGGACATGTCCCTGTGCCCACGGGGTGAAGGAACCCCAGCCCTGGAGAGGCTCCCACGGGGACCCCCTAAACACAAAGGGGGGCACAAGGGAGCCCAGAGAGTGTCACAGGGCTGGGGACACATGGCACAGGACATGTCCCCATGCCCACAGAGCGAGGAGCCAAGCCCAGCCCCCTGAACCCCCCCATGGAAACCCCCCTGGCACAAAGGGGGGCACAAAGGGACCCAGGGGGTGACAGAGAAGAGAGGACGTGGGACAGCCAGCCCCTGCAGCACCCCCAGAGTGAGACCCCCGTCCCCTGAGCAGCCCCCTGGCATGACAAGGGGCACAAGGGGGGTGGCACAGCACTGGGATGGCACTGGCCTGGGATGGCACTGGCCCGGGGCTGGCACAGCACACTGGGTACCATTAACAAAAACCACTTCTCTCCCTAAGTAAACTAAAAAAAAACCTATTCTAAAAATAGTAAACTAACTAAAATTTTAAGTTTACTGGGATGGCACTGGCCTGGGATGGCACTGGCCCGGGGCTGGCACAGCACACTGGGTACCATTAACAAAAACCACTTCTCTCCCTAAGTAAACTAAAAAAAAACTTATTCTAAAATTTTAAGTTTTCTTTATGTTGCCAGTAAGAAAAAGAAAAAAAAAAAGTTGTAAAGAGAAGAAAAGCATTCTAAAAATTTATTCTAATTCTTATTACCTTTTCTTTTAGCGTCTGTTAATAAATTTTTCTTTATATCCTTTTAAAGTTTTAAACCCATATACCTTTTTCCTAATCCAACCTCACAACAAAAGGTGAGCACACCAGTAATTAACCAACACTAAACCCACCACACTCACTGGTACATCACCCAAAAAATCCCAAAATTCATAACACCCTGAATTATCAAAGAGTGAGCACACCAGTAATCAACCACACTCATTAGCATGTTACCCAAAAAATCCCTAAATTAATAAATTACCAAATCAATAAAGTGAGTACACTAATAATTAATGAACACTAAGCCCTCCGCAGTGATTAGCACACCACCCAAAAAACCCCAGAACTAATAAAATCCCAATTACCAAACCCCTGCAGCAGCCCCCCTGAAGTGCAGAATGGCCCACTGCCCACCCCGAGGATGATCCCCCTGCCCGCCCCAGGAGCCCCCTGCCCGCCCCGAGGATGAGCTCCATGCCCACCCCCCACCCAAAAAACCCTCAAAATTAATAAAATATCAAATCAAGAAAGAGCACACTAATAATTAATGAACACTAAACACACCACAGTGATTAGTACAGCACCCAAAAAATCCCAAAATTAATAAAATCCCAAATTAACAGAGTACATTAACGAGCACTAAACCCACCACACTCACTAGTACAACACCCCAAAAAAATCTCAGAATTAATAAAATATCTAATCAACAAAAAGTGAGCACACCAGTAATTAACACCAAACCCTCTGCAGTGATTAGCACACCACCCAAAAAACCCCAGAATTAATAAAATCCCAATTACCAAACCCCTGCAGCAGCCCCCCTGAAGTGCAGAATGGCCCACTGCCCACCCCGAGGATGATCCCCCTGCCCGCCCCAGGAGCCCCCTGCCCGCCCCGAGGATGAGCTCCATGCCCACCCCTAAGGGATGATTTCCCCTGCCCACCCTGAGGAGCCCCCTGCCCGCCCCAGAGCCCCCTGCCCGCCCCAGAGCCCCCTGCCCACCTGGCAGTAGAAGGCGAAGAGGCGCAGGCGGCGCAGGGGCGCGAAGAAGAGCGCGGGCACGGCCACCTCGATGACGTAGGTGGCCACCACGCTGAGCTTCTGCAGCCACACGGGCAGCTGGTGTGCCAGCCACGCGCCCGGCGTGGGGATGCACTGGCTCTCGTAGTGGTACGTCAGGGCTGGGGGCACACAAGCGGGATTGCCGCAAATCCCAGAAACCCACCCCAAACCTGGGGTAACGCTGATTCTCCCCACTGCAGAGTGCAACCACTAATAAAGAGGGAAAAGCTTCCCGGCGCAAAAAATGTTTCCAAACTGAGGGGTACCTTGGGGCTGGGGGGCACAGGGGAGGCTTTCAATAATTACTTCCCAAAAACTGAACCCAATTCAGGGTGAATGCCAGTTTTCCCATTGCAGAGTACAAGCAATTCTGGGAATTCCAGAACTGGAATTCAGAATTCAGTGCTACCTTGGGGCTGGAGCACACGGTGGGGTTTTGGGGGGGGCTTCCCATAACCTACTGCTTCCCAGAAACTCCCTGGAATTCCAGGCTAATGGAAATTATTCCCCGTTGTAGAATAGAATCAATGCTAAACAGGGAAAAGCTTCCTTGCAGAAAAATCCAAATTGAACAGTACCTCAGAACTGAGGGGGCACGGGGGGCCTCTCCATAATCTACTTCCCAATAATTCACTGGAATTCCAGGCTAGTGCCTGAACCCCCAAAGCTGCACCCCTCACCTGTGAGCCCCACATACACCGGAACCCCCAAAGCTGCAGCCCTACCTGTGAGCCCCCCAACATGAGCCCCCAAACCTACACCCCTTACCAACACCTGAACCCCAAAGCTGCAGCTCTCACCTGTGAGCCCCCCAACACCTGAGCCCCCCCAGGCACACTCCTCACCTGTGACCCCCAGGCACACCCCTCACCTGTGAGCCCCCCCAGGCACACCCCTCACCTGTGAGCCCCCCAAAGGCACACCCCTCACCTGCG